TAGTGTGTACAAGACAACTGTTGCATGAAAAATTACTGAAAAATCTCAGAATGGAAATTACTTTTTATACAGTTCATAAAGTCAGCACCTATCCTTATTACAACTGGCTAGATAACATTCTTGTAACCAATACTGAAAGAACTTGTACCTACCTAACCCAATGCAGAAGTGTTTCAAGATCACTTCATCCATGTAAAGATAGGATTCCTGTCATTATGCCAAAGCTGGACAGAGTGATGTAAGTAAGTAACATCTGGCTGGTGCCTAATTTAGCTTACTCAACACTTCAGAAGCTGTATATACAGACAATAATTTGCCCAACGGTTTTGCCTCACCTACTCCTCTCTCCCCCCCATTCACTTTGTTTGTAATTAGACACCTCTCCAACTCCATTTTCAGTACAGACAATAATCTGTTATTCAAGGTAACAGGAAGGGGGGGGGGGAAAAAAAAACCTAGATGAACCAAGTAGTACATCATTCAGATATTACACAGTTTGAATCCTGCGATACAGTAACAGTTGCAGTGTAGCATGACTTTTAAGTATATGCTCCCATCACACATTGTAGATGACTATGTAGATTACTAGCATCAAAGCATATAGCCAGCTTAGCTAGCTTAGGCCTGGTGTCATGCCTGAGGCAACAACATGTTCCCAGAAACAGTACTTCAGCATGGACTAAGCTCAGTGGCTCTCCTGGGGTCAGGTCAGTTAAATTTAAACTCAATTAAATTAATTAAATTAAGCATACTTAAGTGAGGGTTGGTATTGGCTCCCTATTTCCAACCACTACAGTTTATCACAGCAGGGCAAGATCCAAATACATGGCAGGGACCTTAGCTCAATACAATAACCCTCCCAAGTACCCAACTGCAGGGAAGAAAGAAGAGCCTGCCTCCACAAAGCATCACACAGAGCTAGGCTGACCCATGTGGAACCAACGACATACCTACAATACAGCTCCCCAGGAGGATACAGCTATAGCTGCACCCTTGCAGAAGCAGATCAGGTACAGCAAGGTTTGCTAGTTGTCTCTAGCTACACTGATACGGCACCTGAGCTAACAGAACCGTTGGACTCCATTTGTCCCTTCATCTGCAGCATTGATAAGTCAGAACCCACCCAGTTAATTTGACTATAAGAAACAAACTGAGAACTGACACATATATACACACTTAGTGTCTTCGAAATAAGCATACTGCAGCTTCCTAGAAACTTGCATCAGAGCACGTCGTTCTTACACTGCCATTCAGCAGTGACAGTAATTTCCATCTTAGGCACACCTGAGCTATGCAGTATGTTAAGATTGGTTGGGACAGCATCTTAACAGCTCATCCGTTAAAATTCTTCCAGATTTTCTTGTAAAGTAACAAAGAATGACTGTAAATTGATATAATTAAACAACCAAAGTTAATCAGTTTTATTTATTAAGTTGTAGATAAATGTGTAAGTGGTACCCATCCACATGTTCTATTACTCACAAGTAATTAGAACAATAGAGGAAAAAAAACCCAGAACCCTAAATACATTTGATTAGAGCTCAGCCATAGAGGTAACAAAAATCCAAAAATGCAGGTCCAACACAAAAACCATGCCATCACATTTTCAAAAATATAAGAAACCCATGTTTCCATATGCTCAAAAGTAATTAGGCTCTCCAGCATCAGAAGACAGAAATCCAAGCCCTTCAAGACATCCATCTATAAAAATCAGGTTAAAAAAAAAAACAAAACGAAAACACTAACCTATTAGCAACTAATTTGAAAGGCTGTTAAAGAGTTAATCTGCATTTATCTCAACCATGAGAGTTACCAGAAAACCACCATATTTAATTATGAGTTAGATTTTAAAAGTCTATACAAAGCACAATTTCAAGAGTACTTTCACCCTGTAATACATTTTTCTTATCAAGAATTTCTTACAATGCAGGAAAACAAAACACACTGATAGAAAAAGTCTTAGAAAAGTCATACTGTGGCAAAAGCTAAGATAGTTAACTTCATGTGGACATGGACAGCATCAATTACCCATGCACATATGAGAATGTATACAGTTTTAAACTGTACTATAATACTATAGAATAATTATATATCTATATATAGAATTACTATAGATTATAATTTAATTATATAGAAGAAATCAGAATTTCACAACTAGGGGCCTACAAACAACACAGCATGTGGCTGAAGAACTTCAGTAAGGCGAGAACTTTCAACAATTTACTCAATTGTAACTTTGCAGAAATAGGACACCTGTTGTAGAACAAGCATTTCTTCTCCAAGGCAAACAGATTCTGGCGACTACAGGATTTAGCCTATGAAAAGTTTTGTTGTTTTACCCATCCATAACAAGAGAAAGCTCTAATGAAGGCTCAGCAATATCCAGCTTTCTACGTGATCCTACTAATGCATTAAAGATGTGATCTGCTGCAAGACTATGTCGAGTAAAGGATGATGTTAGCTATGCAATTTAATAACTAAAACAGTCTGAAGTTTCCAAACTCTTCCGTATTTCTAAATTTAAACCCTAGTCAAAGGTTACGCATCATGTTATATAATCTGCGCTCTTCACCGAGAATGTTATGGCTATAGGCAAAGTAAATGAAAACAACAGCTTCTCTGGATCAATCGTGAGCCATGAAGCAAAAAAAGACCATATGACAGACGCAATTTTTCTTGGCATGGTATGGGCATTACAAATTGATGACAATCATATGTCCACGCTGGCACCCCTCCACAGCGGATGTGTGAGAGTGTCACTACATCTGGATGGTGAGTGTACTAGGGTCCTGAGGCACTCCAGGCCTACTGAAACCAGAGGGACAGCAGCTGCACTCAATGAACACCGTGGGAGCTCCGCAAAGTGATGAAAGGCCTGAATTACCACAAACTGTAAATACAGATTTATTTCATTAAAATACGAGGTAACCACTGCAGTGATCCCTTCCTGAAATTGACTCATTTCAAGTATAAGCCAGTTATTTCAAGGATTCATTCACATTTCTCCCCTGCAAAGCCAACATAAAAGAAAAAAACAATAATCTTTTGTATCACCAAGGTTGATAAAAAATAAAGCTCGTCCCCACAGAAGCACTGAAAGGAAAGCCAAAAGCACACGACACTGTCATCACATTAGCCAAGAAAGGTTCTTTTGTTGCACAACTAACAGGTCTTCAAAATTTTTAGAAGAGTAAAAAGGCAGGGTAAACTGTGGATTTTTAACCAAAGAAGGGCATCTAACATTATAATGTGGTTAATTCTTTTCATCATTGTTTCAAACATGCCAATCAGAATCGGATGTTACTGTCTTTTTTTTTTTTTTTAAATATACAAACGTCGCTGTGTAGTAGTAAGCAGTACTTCTATTAATGCAAGTCAGTTATCCCAGGAAAGAAATAAGTCCCATGCTCCTGGTGCAGAGGCCGCTACCTGACCTACTCTTCCACTTCATACCAGACTGACCCCAGCAAACACTTCTACATACTGCAGGAGGTTCTTATTTCCTGCCTAGGAGCCTCAACTATTCCCATTGCACCCCTTTAACTATTCCCCAACAGTTTCACAAGCAGAGGGGGTCCATTTCCCTAGCAAATCAGGACTCAAAAAAAAAAAAAATTAAAGCTGTTTAGCCTAGTAAACAATCTTAATAGAGGTGTCTCTAGGAAGCAATTCAAAGCGCTTAAGTTAGGCCTGTGCTCTCCCCCATTGACTACAAGCATAAAGAAAAACTATTCTCCCTACTTTCCCTGCACTGAAGTCAGCTGTTGTGATTACTCCTCACAGTAACGTATTTCCACAAAGTGGTTGCTTTCACAGAACTCTCCAACCTCCACCTTGTCATGGTTTAACCCCGGCCGGCAACTAAGCCCCACACAGCCGCTCGCTCACTCCCACCCGGTGGGATGGGGGAGAGAATCAGAAGGGTAAGAGTGAGAAAACTCGTGGGTTGAGATAAAGACAGTTTAATAGGTAAAGCAAAAGCTGCGCACACAAGCAAAGCAAAACACAGAATTCATTCAGTCCTTCCCATCTGCAGGCAGGTGTTCAGCCATCCCCAGGAAAGCAGGGCTCCATCACACGTAACGTTTACTTGGGAAGACAAACGCCATCACTCTGAACGTCCCCCCCTTCCTTCTTCTTCCCCCAGCTTTATATGCTGAGCATGACATCATACGGTGTGGAATATCCCTTTGGTCAGTTGGGGTCAGCTGTTCCGGCTGTGTCCCCTCCCAACTCCTTGTGCACCCCCAGCCCACTCACTGGTGGGGTGGGGTGAGGAGCAGAAAAGGCTTTGACTGTGTGTAAACACTGCTCAGCAGTAACGAAAACATCCCTGTGTTATCAACACTGTTTCCAGCACAAATACAAAACACAGCCCCACACTAGCTACTGTGAAGAAAATTAACTCTATCCCAGCCCAAACCAGCACACACCTTTAGTAAAAGCTGCTGTTCTCTTGAACACAATACAAAAAGCTACATTAAAGTTTGATTTTTCAAAAAAACTTCACTGCTTGTTTTGTAGAAAAGTACACTATATCTAAAGGCAGAGCATATGTATCTAGAGGAGCTAACTTATCTTTCAAAAAAGTAAGACTTTGTTGCTACAATAAAGTAGTATTAAATTTTAAAGCCATTCTTTTTAACTGAACTTCAGCATGACACCAAACCAAACAAAAAAAAACCAACAACAACAACAAATTTTTCTCCAACTGCTGGGGCTATTCCAAAACCCAAATTTAATAAGAGTGTAAAGGAGCAAGGGATCTTAATTCCCCAAAATCAGTAAGAGGTAGTAATACCTTTTACACTAAGACATGAAATTTCAGCTATCGGTTAGTAAGACTAGAGCATTCCTCCAGCTAGTATTTCTGCGAGAGAGTGATCAGCATCGTAATGACTGCTGAAACAAAAATTAAACCAAAACACAGACTTGTAGGGGACTTGAACGGAATGAAAAAAACCCACCAAACCTGTAATACTTTTCATCAAGGAAAGTACTTACCTGACATTTTTTCCTTGTTCTCTCAACATCTTCACCAGATCAGCTATGGGGTACTGAGCTTTTGCTGCACACAAACCGTAACCTGAAAGAAATTTCCAAATTTTAAGCTGTTTTTCTCTTTCAGTGCAGACAGAATAGTTACAGACAGTAAGTGTACTTTCCACACAAAGAGAAGCTCTCATAATTAAAAATAAATAGACAAACAAATAACATCTCTCTCTCTTGTTAAATATAAAAGATACTCATATATTCCCAGAGGAGTTTAAGCCTGACCATTGTAATTCATCTCATCTTTCTGGTCTCCTGACCACTAACAGTGTAGTGGTTTGACCAGTCAAACTACACAGGTAACTTATTTCAGCTTCACAAAAACACGTGTTCCTTTCTCTATCAGAAAAGGATGCTTCAGACAGGTACACTGAAAAATTGATAAAGAGGCTACTATCAGGTTACTTCATCACCATATCCTCAACAAAATTTTGGATTTGCATAATGCAAATCTAGTAGCTGAATATGGCTTTTAGCAGCAAATAATCTTTTCAGTATTTCTGTCTGAATTAATTCACAGAGCAATAATGCCAAGGAAAATAATGCAGAGTATAAATTATTAATGGTGTCCTCAAGGTTTGACCACAGGAGCAAGAGGCAAACTCCTTGACGATGTTTGCAAGCTTTGTTGGAAACAAAGGTAACTTCTCAAATTAGAACTCTACCTCACTGATGTTTTCATTTAAACTGAAGCAAAATGAAAGACGACTTTGTTTTTTAGCATTCTTCTCATTCCAATGCTAAAATAAATTTAACACAATAGTTTTGCCATTCAGTTGAAGGAAAACAAGTCTTGAGCTATACCCTACCTGACCTCTCGTGGTATTTTGGCTACCTGCCAGGTTAAACCACGACACAGCGAATGTGCTATTGAACCATATGAGCCTACAGCCAACGTAATAGTTTCACACAACTCAGGGTTTTGGTTTTCAGGATTTTCTTCTACTTTAATTCCAGTATTTATTGTATACTAACTAAGTCTTAGACGTTTTTCTGCTGTTTTTTTAATAAAACAATGCAGAATTGAGCAAGTAGATGAGAAGCATAAACAAAATCCTCTCTTTCAGTAACTTAACAGACAGATATTTTGTTGTTGGTACCACTGGTACTGTGGTAGTGCCTGGAAACTCACACCACAACAGCTGTACACAATATTAACTGTAAACATAGTTTACAAAAGACAGTCTTTGTCTTGAAGAATTTAAAATCTAAATAAATAGAACAAAGTTTGAAGAGACACACAGAAGAAAAAACAAGTGGCATACACATGTCTACACAGAGGAATGACAACTGACCTGGGAACAAAAACAGATCCCACAGACCCATCAACATTTGACATGCTGCTGCTACATTGCAACTGCAAGACAAGCTACTATTTTTGTTTTGTTTTGGGTTTTTATTTGTTTGGTTTTTAGTAATACATCCTCTGAATATCTTGTTGTATGAGTCAAGAGTGTCTTACCTGGAGTAATAATAATATTATTGGCTTCCTTTATCATTTCAACTGCATTGTCCACATTGATTTCTGTGTGGGTTCCAGTAATTTCCATGGGCTTCCCACCAGCTGTTGACGTGGTGCCATAGCCCCCTAGAATCACATTTGCAAGGGAACGGTTCATAGCCTGAAAGACAAGACATTTTTGATCAGCTAAAGATGAAATAAAAAACAAGGGAGAGGAGATGTCCACAAAGAAAGCTTCTGAAAATATTAAAGCCTTCCTGACAACAGTCTTTATCTGCTGGTTTTGCCTGCTTACAACTCAAAACTTCTTAAACAGGCTCCTTAAAACAGAGACCCAGATTAACACAATAGCCAAACATCAGCTTCTAATGCATTACATTACACAGGTCACGAGACAGCATCAGTGTTTCCCCAAGACAAAGAACAAAACAAAACAAATAGCAAATATTGGTTTCTTTTTGTTCTTAAAATGGAGAGATATAAAAGAATGCATATTTGATGACAGAATTTTTTTTTTTTTTTTACATACATATTAGATATATATACACACACACACAATTTTTGCAAGGTATTTTCTTAAGTTCTTGAGCAATGCAACATGTAAGCACAGAACCGGCTATATGACAGCATGGAAACCGTGCAGCTCTTACAGGTAGTAAAGAAGGAAAGACAGCATCAAGACAGGAAGGAACACAACAGAGCTAAGTAGCCACACAAAACTAACGAAATGCTAACTCAAAACAAATTGTAATAAACCGAAGGGGGTCATTAACTTACTGGCTGAGCACCAAAGGAGAACAAGAGATCTTAAACTAGGAGCTTTAAGAGGAGAACAGATCCTGTAAATTTGGCTCCGTTAGATACATAGCCAGGAAAAGCCACTGGCTAAATGCTTTCACTGGCATGTCTCCTTGGGAGTGTGGTCCCAAAGCAGTATCTGGCAATATCTGGAAGTAGGCAAAACTTGTAATTGCAGTAAACAAAACTTTAGAAGCAGGAAAGGAACAAGATAAATTGCTTCTTTAATTAAACATGTGTGTCATACATCTGCTGTGCTAGCTCAGAAACCACAGCAAAATTTAAGAATGGATGTGGAGGGGCACACATACAAGCGAGAGGAAACACCCACACAAAAGTATGCTTCCAAGTGTCCATTTTCCACTGACATTTCAAGTCATGCAACTCCACAGGTTTTTTGCTACAGCCTGAGAAGATATGCTGCTCTGAAATTCATCATTTAGCAAATAAGCACAATGAAGATTTTAGAAGAACTTTTGTTTAGCCTGATAAATCACCCGTTTCAGATACGGATAGGAAGGCGCACAAATGCAGTGAAATCAGCATCTTTCTACTGTCTGTAGTAAGCAGTAGTTCATATCCTCTAAGAACATGTATCACAATATTTGACCTTTGTATCACAGTATTAAATCATCAAACAGAAGAACAGACTACTTAGTATATTCAACAGTTAAGCGTCAGGTGAAACAGCCTGGACAGAAGGATACCCTCTTCAGATGTTGCACACGCTAAGCTTACAAGAAAAGCACTTTCTAAACCAAAAGACAACAGTAAGACCAGGCCAAAGGCAAAAAAAGTTCAAATATTATTAGAAACCTGAGAATCCACACAAAGCAAGCCTGAGATTGAAGCACCCTTGCCTGGCTCCGCACCAAAGAGCCAAGGAAAGAGGAAGGAAGTCTGGCAAAAAAAAGGGGGTGGTACAGAAGGCTTCAAAATGAGCCAAAACCTCATCAAGCAACAATTAAACGAACACAGCTAAGACCTGGCTCAGCACAGGACCAGTGTGGAAACTCTTCTATAGCCTCTTTCACCTTCTTTATCACCACAGACCACAAACGTAAATGCATAAAGTGTAAGCTTCACCATTCACAAACAATCCAACCACAAGCAAAAGCCCTCTATGCTGAGCATGCGCAGGTGATGCTGGCCAGGAGCTTACAGCCCGGGGAAAACCAAACCCTTGATCCCTGAGAACTCCAAGTCCTTCCACTGTGCCCACAGAAACCACACAGCTAGTACAGGTGACAGGCCAGCATACAATTTGTAAGACTATACAATTCGTCCCTTCTCTCGCTCCACTTCATCACTTGAATTAATAGTACCCTTTGACCTGAAGCATCTTCCCCACCTCTAAGTATACTGATTCTAATACTACAGTTGCAATCACCAAGTACTCACTCTGCAAAAAAAAAGGAAAAGGACATGCAACAACCAAGTGTTCTGAAGAAGACACATCGTGTTAGTGTTTTAAAAGAAGTCACAATTCACAGGATAAGTGAACAGTACAGGCCTTTGCTTTTTTGTTTTGAAGTTAAAGTCTTTGTCCTTAACTCACCCTACTAATAGGCACAAAAGAGGGATGGGTGGAAAAATCAAGCAGATACAAGTGCAAAAACTAAGTGGTTATCTGAATACATGTTGGCCAATTTTATCAACTCAAGTTTTAAGAGATTATCTGGACAGGCTTTGGATGATTAAGCTACAGTTTTATCACAAAAAGTAATTGGAAATGTTGTAAAAAGGAGGTTTCAACCATTAAGATATTTCCACAAACAGCTTCTCATCTGTACTAGATAAGCTTCAATAAATACACTGCTTTGGATGGAAGTCATACCTGGAGGGAGAGGGAAGGAGGGGAAAACCGTTGCTTCATTAGCACAGGTTGCAACAGCCTAAAGCAGAGTTTATTGAAACTCTTGAGGCATTTTTTCTCCTGAAATGCAACTTCAAGACAATGATACTGAATCCCCTGAATATAACAATACTCTTAAAAGTAATGATTTCCATTAAAGGAAGTAAAGCAGAAAAGAAAAATGCTGGTCTAGAAACAAGTTATTCTGCTTATTGTGCAGAAATTATACAAAATAATTTTAATTTTACTGGCTGATCAACTTTAATTGTCTAAGCTTATGTAAAGCAGCAAAAGATTTCTATAATACTACCTCAAAAACTAAACTTCCTGAAATTTGAGAAATACGTAGAGGAGAGCCACTCTGTCACTGCATAACTTTTGCTAGTTACTTCCCCAGGCTTCCTACTTACCTAGGTTCCTCCAACCAACAGATGCAAGTATCTCAAAACTCCCTGGGAGTGCTGAGAGGAGCTAGTAATAAAATAAATTAAAAAAGGGAGGAGACAGTAAAAGAAAAATGAAGGTATAGAGTAAATGCCTACTGGTAAATACGCACCCAACAGATCGTATTTTCACAAAGACTTACAAGAATTTGATCTTTCAAGAACATACTTTTCACACCTGTGTTGCCAATAAGCATCATCTTTCTACTGACATGGACTAAATTGCTGACTATACAAATACTTATGTACATATATTTACATATAAAAAGATATCCCACAAGCCACATAATCTGATTTCCTTTTGATAAGGAGATACAAAATGTTAAAGAACAAACAAGATTCTTTAAAATTCATACCTGGCATTGTTCATCTGAACTCACCTCCACAAAGCTGCACAAAAATACTTAATGTTAAGCTTTTCTGAAATTGTTCCTCAAGAGAGATGAAAATGAATGATACTGAACATTACTAACATGGTAACAACACTATTTATCAGCAGAGACGAAGTAAAAGACGACAGCCAGGGCTGACCACAGGAAAACATCAGGACAGGAGTACAGCGATGCTGATCATACAAGAACACAAGAGCAAAACTGAAGCAGAATTACACAACAGCGAATCATGAGGTCAGCAGCTGTTGCACTGCAAACATTTTTCTTTAAGGTATTACCTCTCCATGTTTGAAAACAAAAATGAGAGAGACAGGAAAACAAAAGACTTCTGTACAAGTGTTTCAGAGAAAAGACGACCATTACTAATAATGCAATATGATTTACACACAGAGGTGAAGCTCAAGTTTGCTCTGACAGAGACATTAGTATCAGCAATACATTAATGCAAGCCTGCTGCCACCCCGTGGTACTTCAAAGTAGCTGCTCTGAAGCAAGTAGCACACTTTCCTACACTCCAAAAAATGAACTTTAAATTACTCTCTAATCAAACCAAACATTTTTTTAAAGGAACTCACTACTTACAGTATCTCCCACTGATTTTAAATTTAGTTTAAATTTAACAACACTGCAGAGGGATATGACTGAAAAAAAAAACCACCACACAGCTGAGCACAAGTAATCATACCTATTTGAGTCCAGCTTCAAACCCTCAATGCCCAAGCCAATGCAAAGGCTTTCCTCGATTTTGAAGTACGTATCTCTCCAAACCAAAGAGAGATGACTGACAACTAGTCCAACAGTTTCAATAGAGAATTTTCTAGTCTGTAAAAACCTAGCAGTTTGGTCTTCCGATTGCTTATCTTCCTAGCAAACATGCTGAATAAGGTTTTTCATTACTTGGAAAACAAGTACAATTTCTGCTGACTTCTTACCACACACATGATGTAAGACAGGATGGCCCCAGAGGAGCCAATGAGTGCACCAACAATGGTCAGCAAGTTGTTGTTCAGTAGGAAGCCCTCAGCACACAAAGCCCATCCAGAATAACTGTTCAGGACAGTAATAACTACAGGCATGTCAGCACCTCCAATAGCTGCTGTTAAAGTGACACCCTGGAAAAGGAAAGAAAATATTTCAGTATAAGCTATGACGAAAGAGAACATGCAGAGAAGACAGTCTGCCTGCAGCTCTGAAAAATAAATATCAAGTTACTTAATAACCTACTCAAGTATTTTCAACATAGGAGACATCAAGCTCTGGCCTGAGGATTAAATTTACCAATTCTGCCTCTTGAGGGAGGACAGGAAGCCACTCCACTGTCCTCCATCCTGTGCTTAGTCACATATTTTTACTCACAAAAATATCCAACCAGCTCCATGGAACTGTTCATATCATTAAACTATTCATACTGAGCAGTCTTTGCGAGACTCAGTATACAGAACGGTAACGTTCAGGGTAAATTTTGCAACAGCTGGTGTGAGTGAATTGGGGAAGTTATTCATGGGGATAATCTTACTAAATTATCATGATAACCTGTAGATCCAGTGGTCTTTTAATTATTTTAAGAATAAACTTTCAAAAAAGTCTTTTTAAAGTACCAGTTTGCCACATAAAAGGCTCATTGAGTCATAGCAGCAAAAAGTAATTATATACATACATGCTGGTTCTCTGAAACAGTTCTGGTTTACTGCTCAATTTAGGAAAGTCAGTTGCTATACTGCAAGTTAGCATACAGGCACTATGACAATTGTGACTCAGGATGGTAAAATACAATCATTAAGAGCAAACTTGCAAAAGCTGAAGAACAAGCTGCTTGTTTAATTCGTTTCACCTCCTACAATTCCCCAACTTACCATTATGGCTGAGAGAGCTGACACAGAACCTAAGCAAGTAATTCCCGTAGTGTAGCTAGGATCAACCATGTACGGAACCATTCCGCCAATGCTGGCAGCCAGCAATCCTGCGTTCAATGCATGTCGACCAGGCAAAAGCAATGGTGCAGAATTCAGGATACCTGCAACCAAATGCATATTCAGAGATTGACACATACATGCAGCAGCGCTTGTCTTCAGAGAACACTGAATACCTCAGCAAACAAAAAATTAAAAAAAGAAAAAAGGAGGGGCAGAAGGTAAAACAAGTTAGTTGAAGCTGAGACCTTGTGGTGACTCAGTATTCCAACACATTCAAACTTACTCTAGATTCTCAAATACTCCTGTTTAAACTCATTTTATTCCTAATCTCACTGAAGTGATTCAGAATCATCACAAAAATCTCTTCTCCTCTTGAAAAGCCTTTTTTTTTTTTTTTTTTTCTTTTAAACTTTCATTCTGGCCCCAAGTCTTTGCATGTTGTGTCTGACACTCTGTAACAGGAAGCTTTCAGGTCGAGATTCTTAGTGCAGGTATCATCTCAGTCTCTAAAAAGCTGTGTGCTTAGAAAAATATGACTACACAAACAACCCCAAATATAAAACACTCCTGTTTTCAAATGCTTTAATTTGACCAGCACCCCCAGTCACACAGACTTCCCACAGCTTCCCACACTGGCAAAGACTCGAGGGGAAAAGAGGGTTCGGTATTTGTGTGATTCAGTTTTAAAAAGACAATTAGGTATTTATTTTCACCCTAAGCTTTCCCCCTCCGCCCCCAAACAACATAGCGAAGAGTAAAAATAATGCAAGTTTATCTGTTACTTTTGGTGTAAGAAATTACTTACCAAGCATCTCATTTAAATCTAGCTGAATTCAAGGGAAAGAATGAACTGATGGTCTCAGGACTAGGAGTCGAAGTGTGTGGCCTACTACCTCTAACTCAATAGTATAGACAAGCTTATTATTATCATGCTGATACGAAAATGCAAGGGGGAAAAATTAAACAAAACCAGTAAAATGGGCTGAAACAGGCAGTGAAATTCACCAGGGACATGCGCACAAATCACTGAGGAGGTGGAAGGGGTAAGATGGAGAAGAGAAAAAAAATAACCAAGAAGAAATAAATGAGTAACTACTTAGCAGAAATACATCAGAAATACATGCTACTGACAAATCCTTCAAAAGATTATTGAGAAGACAGCTTTCCATCCATGTCATGCTTCCTCCTTCAATGGCTGATCTCATAAACACTGAAGAAAGCAAACAGATGCTTCCCAAAGGAACTATTGCAAAGCTAGTAACAGGATTAGTAAGAGGAAGCTCTTAGCCGGAACTTGTTAGTACAGGTATTACCTCAGTCTCTCAAAAGCTGTGTGCTTACAAAATAAAAAATAAATGCAATACGGAAACCTTCAGGTGCATACGAATCAGGAATTAGTGAGTACTTAATTTAGAAGGCATATTTACTAAAACAGTAAGTGGAGCATGGAGTTTGCACAGTAGGTAAATAGACAGTGAACTGAATGGTTTAAAGTGAGAGGTAGTCTCAACTGATACTGTAAGCTACCTACCTAAATGAAGCCTGCAATGCTAAGAACAAAATCCCATAAATAGTAGCAGTGCTCACTGAGTCCAGCGACACCAGGGTTTCAATTAAAATGTTTGCTCAGGAATACGATGTTGTGATCATAAAAGTTCAATAAAAATCAATCAGAGAACAATGTCAGGTAGTGTCTTAACAATACTAAAGCAACACTTATTTCTAGACAAGATGAATTGAGGGAAGTTTACATGACTTGGTAATTAATAGCAGTAGTATGTCCAAGCACTGAAGACAAACCTTTCACAACTAAAGCTGTACACAAATTAAACAGAATTAAAAAGAAAAAAGTACACTCATAACAATTAAACATAGAAACTTCTACCTGATGCAAAATACAAGGTTTCTTTCCAATTACACAGCAGTTTAAAGGCAGAGCTAAACCTCAGGGGGAAAAAAATCCCTTTAACAAATACTTAATTCTGAATGGAAGGTCTCACCTTGCAGTTTTCCATAAGCAACAAGAGAGCCACTGAAAGTCACTCCACCAATGTACGTGCCAAGGTACGCCACAACCTTGGTGAGATTTGCAGCTGGATCAGTAGCAAAGTGAGGATATTCAATCATGTATTCTGCTACACAGGTGAGCACAGCAGCCAAACCAACCAAACTATGGAAAGCAGCCACTAGCTGAGGCAGATCTGAAATCTGGATGCGTTTAGCAATCGTCAAACCTATTGAGAGTTGAAGACAGAAGGGAAGTCTTACAAACACAACCAATCTGTGCAGCTAGAAATTAATGTATCATGGTTCAGTGTGCAATGAATACATGCACACACATGCCTGTTCCAATGGAAAAATTTGTTCTACACTAGAAATTGCTAGGGTATTTAACTGAAAGCCACATACGTGTATTTTGTGCAATGAGCGTATCATGGAAATTAGAGAGAAAATTAAAGCATATCATGTTCTTAGAAGCTTCACTAAATATTGAGAAATTCAGCATTTTCTGTGACAAAAGCACAGTGTGAAAAACGGAATTTGGCAGCATTCAGTAAGGAACTAAACAGAAGTATGGAGTTGGGCAAGTTCATTCACCTCTACATACCCAGTTTCCCTAACAGAAATGATGCGCTCCTGCTTTTCCACCAGTCTCCCCATTCTTTAACCACATCCTGATGCATTAATAAAACCCCTGGGACTTATGATTCTTTATTCACACATTTGCAACATAACATACACAAGACATAATTAGCCAGTTCACCTGTGAGCTATACAATATTTTGTGTGTATACAGCTTGCACAAATGCATTTATAGAGCATATATTGTTAGTTTATAGTATCATACACATACCTATGGTACCACCAAGTGCCATTGCACCTGACATCTGCGCTAACAATTCAGGTGAGGGTTTAAGGCCTCCAAGAGTTGCTGCTATACCTCCTGCAACACCAATCATACCCAAAGCATTTCCAAGACGAGCTGTTCCTTGGGTGGACAGACCAGCCAGGGCACCAACACAGCATAAGCCTGAGCCCAGATACATTATCTTTAAAATAAGAAAAACATCAATATGCATACATGAAGTAGAGACAAAGTGCATAATCATTATAGAAATCTTTCCGATTATTACACAAAAGGGATTATTTCTTCAGAATGCATGTAAGTCACAGTTCTTAACTGAAGTCAAAACTCTTGACTGTGAGAAACTGTTGTACAGGATGTGATGTTGGCCAATTAAAATGCGATATCTATTAAAAGTTCTTCCCCACTTTATCTGCACTACGAATACTAAACTTGAGTCAAGCCAATTTTCCTCATCAGTTCAGAAACAAATTTTTCTTTAGTACAAACCCAAAGCTAAATAGTTTCAGAATTTGCTTATGGCACATTGAACACCTGTTTTCAAAAGGTATAAACAAACTTCAATTAAGTGAGCTGTACATGTCTAGATAACTGAAAAAACCCAAATATATTACAAGCCCCTGGTATAAAGGTATGTTTGGATTCACTTTTTCCAAACACAGAAGGCAATACACATTGATTGATTGATTACTATTAGAACAAATGCAAACAAAAGTTTACCATAAAAGGTGCTACACATACAATCCCTGTACATCCCTCTGTGCTGAAATCTCATCCCATCCAGATGTCATACCTACTTTAACTGTCACACCAAGTTGAATGTTCAGAAACATTTAAACCAAAGATTTCTGTAGTTGCTCTAATATTTAAGCTGTAATTTATGAAAACTGTCCAATAAATAACAAAGCACCTGCTGCTTCACAGAAAGAAAAAAAAACACAAAGCTTTTAAAATTTGCAAATTTGGCATTGCAAGCTAAAAGTTAATCAACTTCAGATTAGCCTTGTGGGAATATGTAGCTGATGAAAAGACCATGGCTAATTTGTTATCTGCTCCTCAGAGTAAGCAGTGAAGAAGCACACCATGCTGTGAACAGTGGGCTAAGAGCCACAAAGTTATCTTCTTACCTGTTCAATATTATAGCCACCATTGAGAGCAGCTGCATAGCCTCCTACAAATAGACCACCAGGAAGTAGGTACAAGTAGTTGTACTCAGGAGGATCTGTGGGACGTTTGAACATATCCAGCATTCTCTGTGTAACTAGAAACCCACCTGGCCAAAGCAAAGGAACAATTTTACAAAAATAAAATCTGAAACTAAGCATATGCCAAGCTATAAGAGAAATACTTGGTTAAACCGTATTACCACACAAAGTTAGCAACTGACACCAATAAAGTCTCTGAAAAGCTAGTAATCTGGAAAACCACCAGAAACAAAGGTGTAATCAGAGTGAGACCTTCTTGTCTTTTTTAACCTTTGGAGGAAATTCATAAAAGGAGGAGTTGGAAAGCCTGGAGGACTTGCTCTGGCTCCATACTCTATGCTGACTGTAGGATACAGCTTAGTTTATGACTGTGTCCTTCTCCCTATCTACTCTAGCAAAAAGCGGTACTTGTAAGTCACATTGCTCACTTTCTTATCTTTTTTATTCGTGAAGCTGGGACTTCTGAAGCTCAAGCAAGCAGAATTTCATTCTACGCCACTAGTGTATTTTTCAAGTAGGAAAAAGAATACAAGGACAAATGCAGTACCATCTTGGAATATACAGGAAAAGACATTTCATATAATCATCGCCCAAAGGATACTGTAAAAGAAAAATGCACATTTAAATGCTTCCCTAAACAAAAGGTTATACCACAGGGTGTGCAAACTAGATACAATAACTACTATGAAAATTTGGGGGGAAGGGGGAGGCGGGGCGGGGAGAGGAAGAGGAGGAGAGGGGGGCAGTTCTTTATTGACAGATGCTCTCAGATCCTATTCCCAGAACAGTATTTCTGGAATCTATAAAATTAAAGAGCTAGAAGAAATAAAAGAAATACACAAGTGCTTTAAAGTTACCCTCAGGAGAAAACCTAACATTCATACCTGCAATATTGACTGAAGAGATAAAGGTCGAAAGTACTGCTAGACTTTGAGGAGTGTTTTCAGGGAGATAGTTTCCTCCCATCAACACCAGCCCACCAACTGCAGTTAGTCCTATTTAAAAGAGAAAACAGTGTTACTGAACTTCAAAAGGCTCTATACCTATATGCAAGTTTCCTTTCAGCTGTCAAACAGATACCAGTCAACTCAAATTTTGGCCCCTCTACACATCACTATTTAAACAAAGACTACCGTGGTCTTTTTCAGCAATGCAAACATGTTTCAAAAGAAAAAAAAATAGTATATTAATATAGTTTTGAAGTACAGTGCCTCAGGCACAGAATCAGCCTCCAAGTACTTGTTCGATAAAAGAAACTTTGCTTTTAACAGTCAAAGTAGATCAGACTCATGACCTGACTCATACATATATACACACAGATATATAAAATCTTACATATTCATAGAGTTATGACTCTTACGGGTCACTTAGGAATTTTTTCTTTTTCCCCCCTCTCAAAACACATAGTTTGAGGAGAGGAAGAAAAGAATGCACAAAATATGGAAGACAAGTTATTTTCAGGGCAACATTTTGGAGGGATGGGAGGGAAGATGTGTTCTGTGAAAGGAGAGACTGCAGCACTCCAAGTAAAACAAACTTCAAAGTAAACAGGTCAAGAGGAAAAAATTACTTACAAAAATTAAAAATACACAGCACCACATTTGCCCTTATTTTGAAAAAACATACTCTCAGAAAGAGAGTGTCCTTGCTATTTATGAAAGTTAACTCAGACATGAAGAGTAGTACTAGGCTCTTTGGCATTTTAAAAGGCACATCAGCAGACTTCTGTCTGAAGTCTGAGTAAAAGAAGCTGTGCCTACTTCAAACAGAAAATATTTGTTGTGTGACAGCTACTTACCTGAGATAGCATTAGTCACTGACATGAGTGGAGAGTGGAGAGCAGGAGTCACACCCCATACTGTATGGTATCCCACTATTCCAGCTAGGCCAAATGTCGTCACCATTTGTGTGAAAGCAGTATTAGGAGCTACAATGCCCAGTCCTAACATGCTGGCTAAACCTAAAAGAAAAGCACAGCAAAACTTTTCTATAACTGGTTTCTTACATTTAAACTCTGTACAACAGGAGCCCAGTATTGAGCTAAAAGCAAAATGGAGTTTTCTGCATGGACTTGTTTCAAGATCAGCTGGATCATCTTCGTCAACTTCAAGGCTCTTTTGGTGATTAGTGTTTCTTTTACAATAGAAAATAAAACCGTAAATATAATATATACATCTTTGCTATGCATGCACACAAAGCAGCAAAGATAGGTTTCTACACCAACACTGAATCCTGTCACTCTCCTGTTCTATAGCAAAAATGGAGAAGAGTCACAATCATGTTGAGAAACGACTTGGAAGACTCAAAGCGTGCATATGAAGAATTAAGAATACTCAATTCATTAATTACCTCATGCAGAAGTTCTGATGCACACATAATACCAAATGGCAAGAGCAGCCAATATTTGCTTGTCAACACAAATGTCCTATTCTCTGTACTTCAGTAGATTGTGGGCATCTCATACAATACATGAAAGTTCGAAGAAAGCAATGGCATTGAATAGATTCTGCTGCAAAGTATGGGCACAGTCCCTAGCAGGTGTCCTTCAGAATTTTAAGTATTTTACTTATATTTAAATAAAGCCAAACACACATACATGCACACAGCATGAGTCAGTACTGTTTGAAATGTTAATACTTTTGGTTAAATTTCTAAAATTGTATTTTCCCCTCTCAAAAGCAATTATTACACTACACTGATTTTGCACTAGGATATACCAGCCAATCAACTGCTCTCCCAACTAGTTATTAAATTGAATGAGTAAGATGAGGAGTCACTTAAAAGTATTAGCCAAATGAGGGGCACTCTACACTGATTCTCCAACTCTGGAAGTTGCCTACCTGCTGTGTATACAGATGCACTAGTCATAGTTTTTCTAAAAGGTGTAATAGTAGCTGCTTTTTCCGCTTCCAGCTCTGCTACAGTCTTCTGTTTCACAGGGGCTCCTTGAGGAATGTTATTTGGTGGAGGTGCTGGGAAAATCACCTTGCCATCCTGACAAGAGATATTTACAGTTATCCCTAACATGGCAGATGCTTTACAGTTAGAGGAACCTACTCTTCTTAATCCTGCAATTCAGATAAGTCTTAACATCCTACAGCCATGCCACTGTAACATCTTCCTTTTCTGCATCAGCAGAAGTTTGCAAGGCTGGATGATCAGTACAGCCTGACCAAGTTAACCATACTGGTTTACACGTTTTTCAGACAAGATTTAGTATCAGTGTCTAAGAGCACCTGGCAGAACACAGCACAAGGCTTGAAAGCAAAAACCAAAACCAAGAGGTAAAATTTCTTAAATGGAAAACATTTACGCAAAATAAAACAGGGTCTTGGAAAATGCAAAATCTGCTACAGATCTGAACTGTAATCAGAGCCTGTCCAGACCTTACCCAGGGACCAAGCATGATGTCTCACATTTCTTGCTGTTCTCCAGGCCTCTGGAGAACCAACCGGTGGAGCTGTCAGACCTGAGTTGTACACACCACTTCAACGGTCTGAGAGAGCTGAAATCAATGCAAGCCTCCTCCAGAGTAGGTATCATAAGCATTACGAAGTGTTGGCAACATTATGCAGCAAAACTCAAGAGAAATTAATACCTCTTACCTAAACTGCAAATTATTATTTCCTAATAGTTGCAGGAGGAGAGCCCATACTGGCCCATGCCCTAAGTTTGTATTTTATTATTTCCTAATAGAGCTTAAAGCATGCTGCATATTCTAGTTCCACCAGTTCTTTCTGAAGTTACTCTTATAAGAACAGAAACATGTATTTATTTAAAAAAAAAAAAAAGGAAGAATGTTTTTCTGGTCCTGTATTAATGCTTCAAAGATGTTTTAAATAACTATGGTTTTATCACATGAATATAACATGCAAATTTAATCTTTTTCCTATTTTTCAATAGTAGACATTAGGTATTTGTTTAACCATGACAAGACGACAAAAGCAAAGAGGTTTCCCTTCACAAAAAGGGACAGAGGAATATTCAGCTGAATACAGACACGATTGCCCACACTGTCCATCAAGCCACATCTGATTCTACTGGCATGCAGTAGCTTTGAATGCATTTTAAAGAGACAACACTGATAAATGTAGAAGTATGTACTCACAAATTAAGAAGAGAATATTTACTGACTTACCTTCATGACTACAGTTCCTCTGATAACATGATCCAGAGTTCCATAATCAAATTCATCTTTTGGATCAAAGTAGAAATTCTCTTTGTCAGGACTAATAGCCTTTAAGAGTTTGATAATGTTATTGGAATAGAGAGTACTGGCCTGCGTAGCCATTCTGCTAGGCAGGTCTGTGTAGCCAATGTGTGTAACACCCTGAAAAAAATTCAAGTAAAATATTAAGGATTAGTTCAACCTCTGAAAAAACAGCATCTCTCCCAATATATCCTTCTGGAAATATATACCCAAACTGTTTCACTTATTTCTGTTTTCAACCCCAGCTAAAACTGTTACCTGCAGCTCTAACATTATTAAGTCAGGGGAGGATTACTCACAACAGTTACAGAATTCAAAATGATCAAACCAAACACCTTAAATGCTATTAGCAACAAGCCTCACAGAGAGGAAAACGTATTGGTGCAAGAGCTTGTCCTGTCCAAATCCTACTGTCCTCTCAGAATTTAGCTTCTTAAAGCAACCAGGTAATAGATTATCCTGCCCAACGCTTGGCATCTTCTCAGTCCTTCTGGAAGGCATGCACTGGAGGCAACTTTCTATACGGCAGAGGAGTGAAGGGAGCTTCCTCAGAGCTAGCTAGCTTTGCAAGTAATATGCCCAGGTTCACATTTATGTAAAGATGTAACATAATATATCCACACTATTTAAAGAACAGATGTGAGTATACCTGGCTATCAGGCTCTTGAGCTTTTGGAAGATATGGGAAGCTGAGGCTGGCACACATTCTTCATATTCAAGCAGGCTTGTGTCAAAACACTGCTCCTACAACTTACAGCTAAGATCCATACATGCTTCCAGGAACTCTGGCTTCTTAATGCAATGCTCTGACACACTGCTAATAGTTCTGCACTGCTGCTTTTTTCCACAGCTCAGTGCCAGTATGGTATACCCAGGGGTAACACTACTCTTACTAAAAGCACTCCATATAAATTCTTCATGCAAGTATCTGCTTATTTCTGTTCTACATACTCTAATTTCAGTTTTTAAGCAATGACATCAAAAGCCCTTGAAAACCACAAAGCCAAATACAATGAGTGACTCATGATATATACACTTACAGCCCCGCTTATATGAATGACATCCATGGCAGTAGTATGTCCTACAGGCTTCCCCAGTAACAGCATTATATCCTTATGTTACCAAGTAACAACCTTGGAAATCTGCTACTTTAAATCTCATCACCCAAATTTCTATAACTGCTAGTAGATTTCTCACAAGAATAAAAATAAAACCCAAAAAGCGTAAAAATAAGCTCTCAACTGAGCCAACAAACGCTGGAGCAAAACCAAAATACTTAGTTCAGTCCAGAGGAAAATTGCTTATTTTAAAGAACCAATTCACACTACTCCTAGTTTGGGTTAGAAGTGGTTTGGATACTCTAGGGCAGACACATTCATGTTGGCAAAGCTAAAGACATACAAAGACAGCACCTTCCTGAAACTGAAATTACACCGACCTAAGCCAGAGACTTTGCACTGACATAGTCTGAACCTCTTTAGCTTACCTATGACAGGGACTGTTAACTCCAGTTGTGGGAGGTGATGAGCAAGTCAAAGAAGCTGTCTCTTTAGGTAGACCAAGAAATAGAAATCAAACCACACCCTCAACTCAGCAGATACAAATCAGTGGACTTGGAAGTTTAAATAGTAACACTTCCATACTTACAACCAAATTAGCACTATACAAAGGTATTTGTTTCTTTAAAGATCTTGAAATTGTTATACATAGAGACAACTTGTGACTAAATGCAAATCTAAAGGATTACTTAAGACCAAATAGCAAAATCAGCTACTCATTTTCAGCATACAGTTTACAAAACACAGTGTGAATTCACGCAAACTGAGAATGATCTGAAGATTAAAATGCTCACCTTATGAACATGGACTTCTCCTGCCTTTGTAGTCTCAATGTTTCCCCCTGCTTCTGCAGCTAAATCCACAACAACTGAACCTTCCTTCATTGATTCAATCATATCTTTCTTAAACAAGATGGGAGCTTTTTTGCCTAACAAGACAAGGCATAGTAAGTTAAACACAAAATACAGCTTTTTATCTGTAGAGCTCAGGAGATGAGTTCTCCCCTTCTCTCTCTCTCTCTCTAAACCTTATTCCTGTAAGCAAAATTTTCAAGTAATTAGTACCTAGGATGAAATGCCACAGAAGGTCTGTTTATACAGGCAGAGAGAAGAGATGCTACAACATCTTGCTCCCAAGCATATAAAAAAAGGTATGCATGGGCAGTCTACCAAAGATGCTGACAAGTCCAATTTTGTCCTCAGTAAATTGATCAACATGCAATCTTACAATTCAAATCATTTAAAAAAAAGAAAAAAAAACAACCCCAAACAACCAAACCACGCTGCATCAGAAGTTATTAAAAGACAGATGTTGTGCAATACAAAGCACTAAAACCTAAGCTTTACTTTACTACGTTTCAATTACAAAAGACAGTACTGTTTCAATTGGACTTGTTTCAGTGCACAAGCTGGAGAGCAGAAGTAGCAGTGATGCAATAAATATGCAAGAGGATTAGATAGTCTTACTTTATTACTATCTACTCCTTGTTTAATAAGAAAACATCATGGTATTGACCCAAAGACTGCTAGTTTGTGAAAACAAAAGTTGCAAAAAAAAGGCACACACTTTAAAAACAGGCATTTATCAGGGAAGGGAAAAGGTACATGCTCACACAGACGTAACTGATTAACACCTCTGTTTTCACTGCAGGCACAGCTCCAAAATATGCCAACTCACACAACAAAAATGAAAATTAACATCTTGTACATAAAACATACCTGGAATAAGCGCTGTAGTGATGATAATATCAACATCTTGGCACTGCTTGGCAAAGAGTTTCATTTCCGCTTCAATAAATTCTTTGGACATTTCTTTAGCATAACCACCTTGTCCCTCTCCAGACTCTTTTATGTCTACTTCCAATGGCTCAGCACCAAGAGACTTGAACTGCTCCAGAGCTGCAGCTCTAGGAAAAGAAAATTGCAGGGGAGGAAACAATCACTACTTCAAAAATCCACTATGATTTTTCTGGTCTTTTTAGTAGCAGTCTTCAGACAAAAGATCTAAAACTTATTCTAGGGTTAACTGAAGGCCTCAGCTTTCTGTATTTAGTGAAAAAAGTAATTGCATCACTAATGTTAGGTCCTTAATGAAGATACTTGGACAAGGAATGAAGGCAGCCTACAGTTTCCTGCATAGTCGGCAGAGTGGCTCCAAGAAAAGCCTCAAAGCTTGGAGCTTAACTGTTGACTAACTCTGCTCACTCATTTCTCATGTCATGACTAGGTAAATCTACAGCCCTAAGATGCCTAAGACAAGTGATAAATACACAATCCGTGGCCCTGTCTTTAATCTGTGAAATGGGAAATACTAGTAGTCTTATTTTCACAGGGAAAATTGGTTTTGGGGGGCTTTGGGGGATGGGGTTGGGGTTTTGGGGTTTTTTTTTTTTAGAGTTATCCTGTAAATCTGTAATTTATTTTGCATCACGTGATATCACAGTAAATAATGAGACTGAATTTCAGTGTTAGGTGAACATTCACAACATGCAAAGGATTTAACACAAACATTCTTGCACAACAAGTTAAAAGTATACAGGATGCTTAAGGGAATTTAAAAAATCTGAAAAGCTTTAGACAGATTTTGATCATGCTTTTAAGAAAAATAAACTCTTTCCAGCTTGTTTTAAGGCATATGCAGATTTTCTAACAAACCAGAGTGAAGGATCTTTCATATTGCACATCATAAATCTTACATTCATTTTTATTCTTTCCACATTAGATATAGCTAAGTAGCACTAGATGCCACTTCTGCATAAAAACAAACACGTATAAGTAATTTTAATGCAAATACAGTATTAAGCACATACAAACTCAATATAAGAAGGCCATTTAGTAGGAAAAAATTTAATGAAGTTTGCAGTCCCTGTAGCTATAAGAAGAAAAATGTTTGTAGACTGTAATTTTCCCCGTCTATTGCTCTAAAAAATGGCTATGGGACAAAATAATCCTTCTGAACATAAAGGAACATAAAGAAGAGACCTGAGGAAAGCAGCATTTGAAGCAGCTTCAGCTGCAGTTTCTTTTCTTTCACCTTGAGTTTCATGAATAAAATAACTTGATCTCTTTCTCTCCTCCAGTAGATTGGAAGAAGCATCTTTCCAAAGAGTTCCTAGCTGGCCTCTCTGGGATTAGGAGAGTAGAGGTGAATAAGAGTATGCAGCTATGAACCTGGATCAAAGCAAACTATAAATGAGGGCATAAAGATTATTTCTTTACTATTTTCCCTGTGTGCCCAAGAAGAGACATGAAATTCTGGATAAAAGTCCTAATTTTCTCATTTTCATAAAGCAACAATTTTTTTTCATATAGTTCTGAATGATTTAATGAGAAGGATTCTGGAAGGTTTGGTTGTTTTGAGGTGTAAAAAACAGAGGAATAATGAGGGAATAAAAATGGTAGGAAAGGAATTGTGATTCAGTGCAGTACAAGTGCTTTCATTGTAACACAGCTACAAGCTACTTAATCTTAAAATAATTTCAGATTGCTATTATCATTTTGACACACCTACCTAGTATCAAATCCACGAACCACTGCACCCATCGATTTAGCGGCTCCTGCAGAGGCGAGGCCAGCAACTCCTCCTCCGATGATCAAGACCTAGAATGATATCATCACCATGCTTGGAGCATAAAGTAAAACTAGAGCTGGTTAGAAAAGCAGCAGCATTGTACTGCTTTCACAACTGCAGATCGGTCTCATTAACCAGCCATTTAAACAAGCTACCTTAGGACACAGATCCCAAAATGACTTTGGTAAAGCTGCCTCGTAAATCTAATGGTTTAAAAGCTGTAACTCCTCACTCCACTTATCTGAGAGCGAAGACATCTGTAGCTAACAGTTTATGTAAGTAAGTACAGGTTTTCGCTTTAATTCCTCCGGTTTTTTTCCTTCCTTAATTCTACTTTCATTTCTCTTCAACCCAATCCACCTGCAATTCCAATCAAGCAATCCTTTCCATCACAGCCTTCAAGACACCCAAAATCCCAACATCTCTGACTTCTCTTAACTGCTTCCTTGCCTTTCCCCATCTGGGGGGGGGGGAGGGGGGGAGGAAATCATCCATGTATAGATAGACAGATGTTTAAACCTAAACAAACTTAAATAAAACTCAAATTATTCTATTGTTTAAAAAAAAATATGACACCACAGGTAGTGAACAAAAATTGGTATGGGAATAACTATAGGGATTTCTAAAGTCTCTAGAACTAGCCCTAAGGCAGGAAAAAAGCCTTTTAACACAGTTTCAGCAGTGGTTAGCTGTGGTCAGGAATCACATATTCTTCTGTCACAGTATCCGTTTAATTGCACATACCTTTGCTGGAGGAACTTTACCAGCAGCTGTGATCTGACCCGTGAAAAATCGACCAAAGTGATTTGCTGCCAGTACCACAGCCTTGTAACTGTCAATTAAGGACGAACAAACATCAGTATTTTCCCAGGTTCAGTACAATTCCATTCATGACAGCAATCAAAAGGATGAACATTTGACCGAAGCATGCATAGCATAAAGCAAGTTTAGTATTTTACTATTGAGTTTAATAGTATGTCTTTGTTCATATTTCTTGCTTTTTTTTTTTTTTTTAAATCACGCAATGCATTTTCAGACAGAATTTTTGGACTGCAATATACTGGATGTCCACAACTATTCACTCTCTCAAATAAAATTTTACCTGAATAATAAACGCGTTACTTGCCAAAAGTTAACTTTGTGGTCTTTGAAGCTACCTTCAAAGGCTGTAACCTGAGGCTTGTTAGGGAAGGAAACATGAACAGGCAATTGCAAAACCCAGAGTAGTTTTGCAGTGAGCTCACTCAGACAAGCAAGCACAGATTCAAAAAAGACACTCTGACCCTAACTTTGCAGAGCTACATGGTTTAGGGCAAATAGCTTAACCTTACTACTACTTTTGCTCCATCTGCTTTGTAGCCATCCGAGAATGGGTGGCTGGACACCAATATCAGTAGAGCTATCTGAAAATGCAGATTAATGTGTAATTATGTCTTTTCTTAACAGTGCACATTTTCTTGCATTTTACTAACAGTGTTGTGGTTCAACAGGCCCATTCCACTCTTTC